GATATCATACACAAGAATGCAAAATGAAATTATCATTCAAGATTTAGAATCTTTCTCAAAAATAAGAAACCATATCTTTCCAATCATAAGGATAGCTTTGGCCATGAAGTATGAATGTCCTGCAGACCACCCAGAGTAGATCTATATATATGCCATAAATAACCTAAAATTCATTTAGACTAATTTCCATATATCTACGCTACGTAACTGGCTGCTCTTATTTATCAATCTTGGTATTCAAGCATGATATAAGAGGAATCCTAAAGTTGCAAACTTGCAAAGAAAGAAAAGTAAAATAATGCAAATGGTATCTTCTACAATCTATGCTGCTTTAACACTGATGCCTTAACCAGTAATGTGGCATGAAATGAGGAAATCGTGCATATTAAAACTAACCTGAATTATGCCTTTAATCCGCCATGCTCCTTGGTTCTCAACTACAATATATGGATCATCCGGATGTAATGCCCTGACTTCAGATCTGATCTCCTCCAAACCTACATTGTGATCTCTAGTCAACTGCTCAGCAACCACCTTCTTTGATTCACCCAGACTACCAATTACAGCTCGAGAATCGCCCAAATTAGCAACATACAGTGATCCTCTCCATATAATTCCAACCAGGCAACAAGATCCAACTGCTGCAATTGATGGTTTTCTACCAAATGACCCACGTACAAAACTAAGAAATTCATCTTCAGTCTCCATAACAGCACTTCTAAGAATATTTTCAGAAATGGTTCCCTTTTCTTTAGCAATCCCTGTCGAGTTTCACAAAATTCAATCAAATTACCACCAAAATTTGCAAATTGATCAAGATATTCACATTCAATTAACTTATCCAGAAATTTCCAGAATTCATCCAAGAAACAACTAATTCCATAGAAAAGATTCATGGTCATACCAAAAGAAAATCGTCTCCAAGAATCTCCAATCCATAAAACACAAGATTGATACCCAAACAAAGAACTATAAATTGGAAAAGAAAAGACAATGGCACTGACTGATGAAAGTCCGGAAGAGTCGCCTAGATATGTAGCGAGACGCGTCTGGACCACCATGCCCATCATAGACTCCAACAAAGGTAACCTCCCTTCCAGTATCGACCTGGCTGTGATCCTCGATGACCTCATTGCCTCTAATCACTGCGACTGAGAATTCGCCACAGGAGTGCTTTTCAAGGTCTCTGCTCCAGAATAGCGGAGAATGGAGCAAGGAATCATCAGGACCATCATCATCACTAACATCATCCTTGCTCGTACCCAAAATTCTACCCACCAGTTCCCAGCAGGAAAGAACCATCTGTCCCAGCCAAGACGGCATCTTTGCTCATTTCCCTTTTGGATCAAACAACTGAAGACCAACAAGAACAGAGTAAAACCCCAGCTCATAGACTAAACCCCCACCAAATCTCTTGAAGAAAACAAAGAAAGAAATTGTGGGTTTTTCTTGAACACAGAAAACGAACCAAGGAAACAATGGGTTTCAAAAGAAACAAGAAAGCGAAACAACGAAAGGTTTGTACCTTTCAGAAGAAGTGATGAAGGTTTATATATGAAAACAGAGGGAAGATAAGAAATTGTTACCGA